CACTAAGATTAGACTACATAGCAAATATTTATTTAGGTAAGAGATGTCTTACAGTTAAGTCATAAAGAGAAATTAGTTGGATTTACAATTTAAGCAAATGTATGTAGCAGCATTATCTGCTTCAGTGCAGTCTGCATGAGCCCATAGTCCACATAGACGACATCTCCATCATATTTCATTCGATCCAAACTCCAAACATACTGCACATAATTCACTTTGTGCTCTTTGGTGTACTATTGTGTCTCAGCCGCCATCTTGACAACTTTTCCAAATTTTTTTGGCTACGTCCAATTGCTCGTTTCACTTTCTCAATCTCATTCTTTTTCTGTTTTTTCCTTTCCTTATTTTCCAGTTCTTCTTTTAAAGGTTTTGATGTTAATATGGTCGAGTGCTGAGATCTCCTGCTTCTAGTTTTTGTGTAACCACTGACTGGTAGTGCGGGTAAAGGGCATAATTTACCGATAGATATACTGGACATATTCTTATCTTTTAGCTTCACGGATTTATCCCTATCGTCGCTCAAATCAGTGTCTGAAACTTCCTTTAACCCTGATTCAGATGAAGAATCTTCTGACGTTGACGGTGATTTAAGTTTACGTTTTTTATTATGAATTCCACTAGGACCTGGTCTTGTTAGTTCATCTGGGAAAACCGGTGTTGGTGATGGTGTCCGATGTCTATCGGGCAGAGAAGGAGGATCATCTTGACATTCGTCGGCTACTGGTACAGACATTAACTCTTCTTCGCAAAAAACATCGGGATTGAATGGAAAGATTCCTGTGGTTCAAAAACCATTTACAGCTTTCTTAATGGATGCAGCCAGGTTGAAAGCATTTTTAACAAGCATTGCCGACTTAAAGGACACTTTAGTAAACTGGGATTAGTATAAAATAGTAATTGCAGATTCTGTGAGGAGAACGACGAAACCTCCTTCACATTTTGACTGAATTTTTAGCACTCCAAAATCTAAGGACATTATAGAAGCATATCATAGAAGCATATCATTATAGAAGCATATCGATATAGAAGCATACCAAATATAGAAGGACGATGTACTTAACTTGAAGTTACTCCAAATCCCACATTTATTTGAAAAGATAGAATTAAAAGGGTCGTTAGGTTGTTCTAGGCTTTGATACTAATTCATTGTTGCATTAGCGACAGAATGGGGTGTAATAGGTCTTTAAGGTCGCATTGTATTAATACCCCACTTTTTTTGTCCTTTCAGGTATCCCTCTGCTCCCTCTGAGGGATTGCGATACACTCCTCCCAATCAGACTCATGTACAATGAAGAAAAAGTAAATAGCCGTACGGATTTTATTTAAATTTTTTATAAAAATGCAATTATAAATAACCATGATAAAGGGTGGGTAGTTTATGATATATAACCCTGTACAAAACGATTAAAAACTAAATAAAAATAAATTTTAATAATTAAATAAAAGAACAATATATTTTATTAAATTAAGAAATGTGTCAAAACTTTAAAACTAAATTAAAGTACAAATAAATAAAAATATTTATAATGAAAACAGTAATTCTGTAAATTACAGAATAATAAATCAAACAATTTTTATTACAACATAATTAACTTTGTAGTGAGACGTTAATCGTTGTAATCTTACTAAGAGCCTCTAATTTATTTTTATTAATCTCTTTATCGCTTCTGTTTTCACTTCTGAGCTATTTTGGAGTCTGGTTAAAAATTGAATTATAATTCTGTTTAGAGATAATAAACATATACAGTGATGACAAAATTAAACCTTCGAGTCTACTTTGCTCCTGTTAACGTGAATAATAAATGGCGTCCGCATATACACGAGAAGAACATATTCCACACCCTTGGTGAAAGGGTGTGGAATGTACTCAAAATCCTTAAACGGGATTCTCATAGCAGCAAAAGAAAATGTCATGTTTGTTTAAAATTTACAATTTATACCAGCTGTTTGATTCCAATGTCAGGGAGGTACTTAACAACATTGTGTACATTACAATTTGGTCTTAATATTGTCTCTAATTGTTAGGTATTTTATTATTTTGTCTTTCTTGTTCATATTTTGTAAAATCTAACAGCAGATGCTTTACAGTAAAGTTAAAATTGCAATATTCAATGAGTTTTCTGACTTAGCTTGTTTAGATACTCATGGTTAACCTAGTATGTTCAATTCTTAGCCTAGTAATAATTGCCCCTTCTAGTCTATCGGATGTTACAATTTTCAATTTTTGTATTCTGACAATATTGTATGTTTTATATTTTATTTATTTATAATTGGAGCAAACCTGTATGTGTTGTGACTAGTAATGTAATATTTCAATTCATGGTAATAATTATTTTTAAATATTCCAAAAAATATATATTTACTGCTTTGTATTTACGGAATTGTAAAACAAATATTACTATTTGTAATAAAATGTTGACTATTTTGATGATTTTATTAGATAAAGGCTAATAATATGTTATAAAATCAATAAATCATTACCCAATATTGCGGTCTGCTTTTTTAGTAAAATGAATTATAATATTATAAAAAGGTGGAATATTGTGTATTTCAATGTTTAAAAAATTAATTGTAGAATACATTTAACAATTAATAATTAAATACTCATTAATGTTTAATATTAACAAAAATTATTATGAAATAAAAGTAAATAGGTTATGGAGGAAATATTTGACTTTTTCTATTATTCAAGATAAAATAAATTAGATTTAGAATATATATAATGTATTACAAACTTTTTAGGTAACGCGTGTTTTTTCTTCAAACTTTATTAAATGGAAAAAATTATAATTTTAATGATCTACATATTGAAATCCATTTCCTTCCCTAAAAAATGTAACCTTTGGTACAAGACCCAACCTATATGCATTTATGCACAAAATCAAATTGACTACTAAAACTAATTTGAACAAGCTTAAGTCCAGAATGCTAATATTGAATAAGCTTTAATTGATAGGATTTTATTGATTTACGTTAATTTTTGTTTATTAGATTACCGCATCAAACATTTGGTTATTAGCGGACATAAGCAGTTTAACAAATGAGTATGGTTACACAATTACATTATTTATGTTTTAAATTTTATGTAGAAGATTTTTTTCTTGTAGAAAGTTAACTATGTTCTTTGTACTGCATTTCTGTAAGATATCCGGTAAGTTGGATGGAATATTGTTGTTGACTCTTTTCACGTACAATGCGTTCAATTGTCGCCACGGATACTCTCGTTAAAAATGAACAACGGTCCAAGGCTTGCATTGTCGGAAGTGTCTTTATTAAACCTTCATATATGCTACAGACCATCTGTTTTTCATCTTTTGATAGAATTTTTGGCTTTCGTTGTGAATTACTTGGACCCGCTACTGCATCTATCTATCTTAATCTTAATGCTGTTGAGATAAAAAAAAACATTAATCATATACCTGTTACCATTAGTCCACTCAAATTAAACTTAGAGAAAAAAAAATTGTTAATAGGACTTTGATATGAAACGTAGCGCTTTAAAATTTAAAACCTAAGACTAACAAAATGTATTTGTCTAAATCGTAATCATTCTACTTAAATGTTTGAAGCAATATTATATATCTGTACTATGTTAAGTCCAAATTGGCCAAATTTTAGGTAAATATGTTAAGTGACTCAAAATTTTTCGGCGCATCGTTTGTTATTTTCCATTTTGGCGTACAGTCCACAGCCTAAAATGACTATATTAAAAATACTCTCCTGAAAAACTAAATTTTTAAACTTACCATACTCTGGCTCTGGGGTACATATATAGAAAATTAAGAATTCTGGTCAAAAAATAAAAACATTTTCTTTTATATATTTTTTCCATACAATTCTATGGTGCTAGCAGTTTGTATTTTTTTTAAATTCAAACGAATTATAACAATAATTTAGTAATAAATCATTGTTGCTATTGTAATTTCTTGTTTTTCTCCAGTTTTGAGCATGTTTTTTAATCGTGACTCTATATTTTTTTATTTTATAAAAAACTGCATGTCAAAACGAAAAAAAAAAAAATGAGTACCTGAAAAACTTTGTACGATAATTTTTCACCGTAGAATTTCTTAAAAAAGTGTTTTGAATAAAAAAAAATTAATATTTCGAAATATTTTGAATTTTTTTAAATTTTATTTTTGCTTATTTAAGACATACACCATTTCACCAGTATTTTTAAAGAAATAAAAAATAAAAAATCCTTAAAAATTGGCAAATTAAAATACAGATTATATAATAATAATATTATTAAGCTATTAATAACAAAAAAGTCACTATATAATGGGCGTAACTTAAGAAAATTAAGTAGTAATTAAAACGTCAAAGTGTTATGATTCATTTTAAGCCGTTTTACCTCAAATTTATTAGAATTATATAAAAAAATAAACTACTACAACTACCCATATACCTGTCTCATGCCACAACACTGATTTATCTAATTGAAATAATACCTAACTGGTTTGTTAGCCTTCCCAGTAGACCTTAGTATTGACGAGTTTATCGCTGATTCAAAGTATTTATCTAACTTGGCTAGATATAATATTTGTACGAAGAGTAAATATTATGGAATAATCTCACTTTTTATCCCGGTAAGTTGAGCTCTGAAAATCATAATAGAATTACATTGTTGCCGGTTGACCACAGTGCAATCCGCAAGATGAGTCACCATCATTTAAAAATTGTTCGAGTATAGTAAGCAATTTGCTGCAATTCAACCAGAAATCCTGAATAATGCTGTGTAAAATTTAGAAGAACGGTTGGTCATTGTAAAGTATTGGACATAAGAAATCCCATTATTTAAGCAGTCGAATTTCTTTCACATCCTGTCGTTCATTTGTTAAAAATACTTTATAAAGTGAAATATATCCCTTACTTTATAATAACCTTGTACTTTAAATCGGACACGGGAAACTTATTTTATATTTCGGCTTAGTTTTCGCGAATGTCGAGCCACAGTGCGATGCCGCAACTAAGCCCGTGAAGACAATCAGGAGTGTACTTACCACAACTGCCTGCATATTTAACTCTGGTATTAAGGCGGGCTTTACACGAAGCCAAGCGTAGTTCGCAGTGATTAGTGTACGTCTTGCCGTCAGTACCGCAAACAGGATCCACCTTCGGTTTGCAGAATGTAGGGCACTGGCACAGGGCCTTGCCGTCGGGTCCGTTAATGCAGTGAGCACCCCAGGCGCAGAATGTCTTCTCGCATGGTTCTGCAACAAAACAAAATTCATAAAATGGATGCAGTGTGTTTGCTTTTCAACAAAAATAGCCTCTGTGCAAACATCAGTCTGTTCGATAAGGGCTTCCGTTTATGTTTATACCGGGAAAACCAAGAATGATTTTAAGCAATATTTTTTGTTCAACTGGAAAACTGGAAAAATTATTTGTGGCTTGCTATTTTTTTCATTGTTGAAGAAAAATGTTTAACTCTGACTTCAGATTAACGATTATATGTTTTCTTGTTAAATAGCTTGGACTTCTCCGGTAACATATTTGAAATTGCAGCTTTTGCCACATCTTTCATCTCAGAAACAGTGTCATTATGATAATAAGATTGGAAGAAGATAAACGAGAATTGAGAGTAAACAGAAAAGAATATGAGGGAGAGATTATGAGAACGATATATTAGAATGTAAAGAAGTTGGATAAGAGTGCAAAGAACTTAGGTGTAAGGGAAAAGAAGTTAGATGAGTCTGGTAAGAAGATGGATAAAATATAGGAAAAATTTTAATATTACAATAATACTGAAGATAGAAATAAAGAAAAGGAAAATAAAAATGTAGAAATGAACGAAGAAGAAATTAATACGCAAGAAAAACATATAAAGATAAAAATCCAAGAGATAAAATAGTAATTGAAGAAAAAGGAGTTAATAAAGACAATGTAGAAAAGAAGTAAATATGAATAAAATTAGTAAAAGAAAAATTGAAGAAATAAAGAAGAAAATGAGAAATAAAACTAAAGAAAACAGAAAAAAATTCAAAAGGAAAGTAGAAAAGACCAGGAAAAAAGAAAACATATAGGACAGAAGAAACATAAACATATAAACGTTTTATAATAATTAAAAATAAAATTAGAAATAAAACTGATATAGGAATGAAGGAAGTAATAAATAAAAATAAAAGTGATAGTAAAATAAAATTAAAACAGATAAAGGATTTTAAAAGTAAAACAAAAGAGTAAACAAAAATAAGAATTAAATGGAAATAAAGTTGAAACTGATACGAAGCGAGTTTGAAAGAAAAAATATATAATAGGTAGGAACGAATGCTTGAAAATAGTTAAAAATCGGAGGTTGATTGAAAATGAGAGAGACAAAACAGAAGTAAATGAAAAGGTACTTATAGAAATTTGAATGGGAACAGAAATTTGAAAAGATGGCTGGTATGGTTAAACGAATTTTAATGAATGTAGTGAATGCATGAATAAATTTGAAATATAAAAAATGAAAGCTAGTGTAGTAATAAAATTTTTTATTTGTATAGAGTTAGTGTAATATGTGTTGAAATTAAAGTTAAAAGGGATGGATCAGCGTAGTTCAGTGACGTAGATTAGATTAGGAGTTGGACGTTATTTGTCCTTGTCCACCGCGACCTTTTCTAATCTATTGTGGGACTCCGTTTGTTTTAGAGTATGTCGTCTAGCCTGGTCTTTTTATTGGACTTAGTAGCTTTGACAGTGGCTCCCGCATGTAGTTGCATGCATTTGGCTTTTCTTCGCCCAATGTTAGAAACCTCATTCCAGCCAGGCCTTTACATTGGCACAGGACGTCGAATGATGTTTTCTCTTCTTCTTCACAGAACCTGCACAAAGCTGCTTCTTCTGCTGGATTGATGACACTCATGTGCCTTTTGAGGCGACAGTGTCCACTAAGAAAGCCTACTGTTATCCTAACGGTTTGACGCTTTTGATCCAGTAGGTCTTCCGTGAATTTGGTCTATGGTTCCTTGATGAACTGTTTAGCCTGTCTCAGTTTTGGATAGTTGTTCTACCATTCCTAAGACTTTTTGCATTCATTGTTTAATGGATGCCTTGTACAATGTCTTAGCAACTCCACAGAAGGGTTCGGGGCCTGTCATTGCCTTATCTGAGCCTTCTCGGGCTAATTCGTCGGCCTTTTCGTTGCCCCCAATTACCCCTATTACCCCTATTCTGTAACAATTCCTTTATATTTAACTGCCTTTAAAAATATGTTCGTATTCGTTAATTTACTTCTGTCATTATTTAAACAGATTTCTTTAAGATAGTCCTCTAATGTATTTTAAAGATCCGTTTAAATAATGAAGAAGAAAATATTTTTAAAGGCCGTTAAATACAAAGGAATTGTTACAGAATAGACCCCATTCTTATTCACCATTAAAAAATACTGATTTCGCGCGCTTAATACAAAATTAACTTTTAGAGGAAACCGTGAATATCCTTTATGTAATTTATGCGTCACCATTTTAAATATTTGGTTCTGTTGTCATCCTTTTAAATTAACGAATAATTTATATGTCATACAGAAAAAAACAAAAATATAAAATAAATATTGATTTGTGAGGCTATGATACAATTCGAAACCGTAACTAAAGATCTAGCTTCAAGCTACAATTGGCCTCCAAATGCAAATTGATTATGTTTATTTGGATTGAAGTTTATAGACGCGTGGTCTTTATGAATAGCTGAGGAACAAAGACTCTAAATGCACAACAATGACTGCTAAGGGTTACGAGACACTACCGGCTTTAAATGTCATCACAAATGGAAATAATGAAAATAAGAGGAAAACAATCCATCAAATTTGTTTGTCATTTACAAATATTTATAAACAAAACAATATAATACTTTTTAATCTCCCTACGTATTAATAATCGTACGAATCCGCTTTGGGATACAGACAAAGACTCGATCTCAATTTAATTTAGCTTTCTGGTAGTTTAATTCAGGTTTGCCAAAACATTATTACAGCAATAATTTAGCTGAAGTCAAGTATATGCAAAATCCGCCAAACTCTGGGTACTTGGGTCTACAATGACGGTAATTAAATTTTTGAATCACTGTGTTTTATTAATTTTAAGCTGTAATTTTTCCTCGTAAATACGTTCCGGGGCCCTTCAGACTTCTTTTAATAGACAGTAGATAAAAGCCCGGCATCCGGGACATACAGATCATTTAAAGAACACAGTCGATATTTCAAAGAAACACTTTTAAACATATTCTTTTACCTTTTACTTGAACAACTTATTATAATTTTGATTATTTATAGAAATTTGATGAAATTTGTTATTACCTGCTTCTCAGGTTTACAGTAAAAAAATGGGTAACAGCTTATAATATAAAAACCTGTAAAAGCTTGCAATAAATTTGCCTTCGAAAAAAAAATTTACTCATTGCTCTTTTTTTATCACTGACTTTCTATCCGAGGATGATAGAAATGGTCCTTTTTTCAAGAAAAAATGATGATAATGGAATCAAAAACTTTAAAGCTCTTAAACACAAAACTAAGCTTTGCAGCAGACGTGAAATGCCTAGGTCTCTCAAATAGAGAGAAAAGAAAGCATGCCTTGCTTATGAACAATGCTGTACATTGTGTAGCCTCTCTCGCCCGGAGTCGTCACATGGACTTACACGACCATCATAAGACCTATGGTGCGGTTGTTTGGGTACAGAAACTCCAACAATTGGCAACTATCTGCAAACTAGAACAAATTCAAAGAACATGATGTCTCAACAACACATGAAAACCAAACAACCAGAGCTATGGTCATTTTTATTCTTACTCTGTTTGGTATTTACATTAGCAAGTCTGCTCTGATGATAATGACATGACTCCGCACGGTTATAACAAAACCTGACTTAGGAAGGCGCTCGATACGCTTCCGCTGCTTCTACCGAACATGGACTCTATCTCACCGAGATATCTTTCATAAGCCTTATCAGTTATCACACGTAGAAGAGCCTAAGAGAAAGTGGAACTTAGAAAGAACAGCAAAATAGTGGTGGACAGGGGAAATTGCTGAACAACGAGCATCATGCAATAAATTGAGAAGAAAAAATCAAGGGTTAACAGAAATATCGTAAGTCAAGCAGAGATGGAAGATATAGAAGCCAACTTAAAGAATGCGAGGTAGGAACTAAAAAGCTTGATAATAGAAAGCAAAAATAACGCCTGGGAGAAACTTTGCGAAGCAGTAGAAGAAGATCCTTGGAGAAAGGCATACCAAATAGTAATGGGGAAACTAAAATCAAGACCGTTGGATATACAACCAAAATTTAAAAAGGAAATTATCAATACCCTATTACCTAAGCAAGGATTAAAGGTGTGGATACCCGAACAAGGGGAAGACGAGGATATCCCGGATGTGACTATCTAAGAATTAGAAACGGCTGCCAAGATGCTTAAAAATCGTAAAGCTCCAGGGCCAGACGGGATACCGTCCGAAATAGTTAAATTAACTGTTAACGAACTCCCAGAATTTTTCCGAGGGATGGCTGATGGAATTATAAAAAGTGGGGTTTTCCCAACGCAATGGAAAATTGGAAAATGATTCTCTTTAAGAAGCCCGGTAAGAAAGAAGAACAACCGTCTTCTTATCGACCCGTATGCCTACTTGATTCAATGGGGAAATTAATGGAACAAATAATCACAGCAAGATTAAATGACGAACAAGCAAAAAGGGGATTTGTGCGAAAGGCAATACGGATTCAGAAAGGGCAGGTCTACTGTGCATGCAGTCAAGGAAGTCGTAGAGGTTGCCAAAAAATCAAAGATTAAAATGCCTGTGTGCTCTACTCACTCTGGAAATGCGTTTAATACAGCTTCTTGGAACATCATACTCAGACAACTAAGAAGGCGCCAAATATCTAAATATCTACGAATACTAGTTAATCTAGCTACTTTGCCGACCGGAAAATCATAGATGATAATGGAGAAGAGTTTATGATAGCAGCTAGAGTTCTTCAGGGACCTGTCTTGGGTCCACTACTGTGGAATATCTTATATGATGGAATATTACGTATAGGGACAACAACAAGTGGATAAAACTAAATGATCTTAAACTATCACCAGAAAAAACAGAAGCGGTATTACTAATTGGTAGGAAAAAACTGAGTAGACCAATTACTATTATACCAAAAAATAGTATAAAATACCTGGGGGTCACATTAGAGAGAAGCTTGTCATATAAGGAACACTTAGAGAATGCAGTGGCTAAAGCAAAGAAGGTTA